AACCAGAGGGAAAAATAGATTTTAATTTTTAATACACTTACTTGCTGTTTGACTTTGAACAAGTGATTGAGCTTCACCTGGCCTTGGTGTCCTCATTTATACAACGTGGCCCTTAGAGTGCTAGCCTGAAGAGTTGTCCAGAGGATGAAATGAGGTGCTGTTCATGTAACCCTCTTACTGAATAGATCCTATCCCATCAGTAGGATGCAGTCATGAAGCAACTTCATTTTTAATCAAGCTGCCTCTTCCATCCCACATGGATGGCTGGTTCTTCCCTTTCACTTAATGGGAATTTTAAACGAGTCCCTTAACTTTTCTAGGCCCCTCAATCTTGAGAAGGATCTCATTTTAGTTATGAAATTTTCCAGTCCAGTGAAATCATCAAAATTGCTAACTGTATTAGATTTAAGTTTCTCACCTTCCCAGCTGGGTGCTGCTTTAGGCATGGAATCCTGCAGCAGGTGGGCCTTGTTTCACAAGAGTCAGACACCTGGACCCTATGCCCTCTAAGTTCTAGGATACACCTATTAATCTCTCTGATTTCCTTAAAACACCTCTCAACTGAGGAAGAAGGGACATGTGTCCCACAATGAAATAAATCCTTCTTGAACTCTAGTCTTCAAGGACATAATCACTCATACTGGCCTAACCTAGTTTAGAATATCTTAGCAGGTCCTGCCTAGATGGTCTAGCATCTTGCTTTAAGATGTGTGTTTTTCACCAACTAGTGAGAGTATTCTAGTGTTTAGGTCTCTATCAAAATTCTGTGGCAAGAAGAACTCATCCACCCTTTTGCTACATCTAGCATCATACCTGACACATGAAAATAGGAAGGCTCTGTATCCATATCTCCCTCCTTTTTACACCTGGGACCTTAGGTGAAATCATTTAAGATCAGTGGGTCTGGGTTTAGAACTAGAATAATATCTTTCTTATGGGCAGAAGACATGAACAGACATTTCTGCAAAGAATACATCCAAATGGCCAATAGACACATGAAAAAGTGTTCAACATCACTTGGCATCAGGGAAATACAAATCAAAACCACAGTGAGATACCACCTCACACCAGTCAGAATGGTTAAAATTAACATGTCAGGAAACGCGCGTGGAGGTTCCTCAAAAAGTTGAACATATGGGGCACTTGGGTGGCTCAGTGGGTTAAAGCCTCTGCCTTCGGCTCAGGTCATGATCCCAACATCCTGAGATCGAGCCCCAAGTCAGGCTCTCTTCTCAGCAGGGAGCCTGCTTCCCTTCCACTCTCTCTGCCTACCTGTGATCTGTCAAATAAATAAATAAATAAAACCTTTAAAAAAAAGTTGAAAATAGAGCTACCCTATGACCCAGCAAACGCACTACTGGGTATTTACCTTAAAGATACAAATGTAGTGATCCAAAGGGGCACATGCATCCCAATGTTTATAGCAGCAATGCCGACCATAGCCAAACTATGGAAAGAACCTAGATGTCCATCAACAGATGAATGGATAAAGAAGATGTGTATATACACACAATGGAATATTATGCAGCCATAAAAATGAAATCTTCCCATTTGCAATGACATGGATGGAACTAGAGGGTATTATGCTAAGTGAAATAAGTCAATCAGAAAAGATAAGTATCATATGATAAATATCATATGATATAATCATATCTCACTGATATGAGGAATTTGAAAAACAAGACAGAGGATCATAGGGGAAGGGAGGGAAAAATGAAACAAGATGAAACCAGAAAGGGAGACAAACCATAAGAGACTCAATCTCAGGAAACAAAGTGAGGGTAGCTAGGGGTTGGGAGGAGGCTGGATGATGGACATTGGGGAGGGTATGTGCTATAGTGAGCGGTGTGAATTGTGTAAGACTGATGAATCACACACCTGTACCCCTGAAACAAATAATATATGTTAATGAAGAAAATTTTTTAAATAGTATCTTTCTTTCAACTTTGTAACATTGTTAAGAAGAGCAAGAAACACCATTTCCTTACATCACACATGAAAATAGACTCAAAATGGATGAAGGACTTCAATGTGAGGAAGGAATCCATCAAAATCCTTGAGGAGAACACAGGCAGCAACCTCTTCAACCTCAGCCACAGCAACTTCTTCCTAGGAACATCGCCAAAGACAACAGAAGCAAGGGCAAAATGAACTAGTGGGACTTCATCAAGATCAAAAGCTTTTGCACAGCAAAGGAAACAGTTAACAAAACCAAAAGACAACTGACAGAACGGGAGAAGATATTTGCAAATGACTTATCAGATAAAGGGCTAGTATCCAAAATCTATAAAGAACTTATCAAACTCAACTCCCAAAGAACAAATAATCCAATCAAGAAATGGGCAGAGGACATGAACAGACATTTCTGCAAAGAAGACATCCAGATGGCCAACAGACACATGAAAAAGTGCTCTACATCACTCGGCAACAGGGAAATACAAATCAAAACCACAGTGAGATACCACCTCATACCAGTCAGAATGGCTAAAATTAAGTAGTCAGGAAATGACAGATGCTGGCGAGGATGCAGAGAAAGGGGAACCCTCCTACACTGTTGGTGGGAATGCAAGCTGGTGCAACCACTCTGGAAAACAGCATGGAGGTTCCTCAAAAAGTTGAAAATAGAGCTACCCTATGACCCAGCAATTGCACTACCGGGTATTTACCCTAAAAATACAAATGTAGTGATCAGAAGGGGCACGTGTACCCGAATGTCTATAGCAGCAATGTCCACCATAGCCAAACTATGGAAAGAACCTAGATGTCCATCAACAGATGAATGGATAAAGAAGATGGGGTATATATATACACAATGGAATACTATGCAGCCATCAAAAGAAATGAAATCTTATCATTTGCAATGACGTGGATGGAACTAGAGGGTATTATGTTTAGTGAAATAAGTCAATTGGAGAAAGACAACTATCATATGATCTCCCTGATATGAGGAAGTGGAGATGCAACGTGGGGGGGTCTGAGGGGTAGGAAAAGAATAAATGAAACAAGATGGGATCGGGAGGGAAACAAACCATAAGAGACTCTTAATCTCACAAAACAAACTGAGGGTTGCCGGGGGGAGGGGGCTAGGGAGAGGGTGGTGGGGTTATAGACATTGGGGAGGGTATGTGCTATGGTGAGTGCTGTGAAGTGTATAAACCTGGCGATTCACAGACCTTTACCTTTGGGGCTAATAATACATTATATGTTTATTTTAAAAATGAAAAAAATTACTAAAAAAAAAGAAGAGCAAGAAACAAGATGGGTGAACAAGTGCTTTATACACAAAAAGTCTAGAAAAATGTAACTTGCTATTAGGATATAAGAATAGCAATTTTGTCAGAAACAGTTGACCCCTTGACCTATTTTCATTCCTATCTAATAACTGTAAACCTGGAACACTAAGGACAAGGTTTCAATGACCATGAACAAAAGTCATAGAGAAGGTAAATATTATCTTGTTTCCACACCCTCTATTAGACCTGAGGTTTGATTGCTGTAACGTGTATAATGTACAGAATGAAAGTTTGAGGTTCCTACATCTCATAGTTCACTTCATCTAACTTTCTCCCACAACCCAGAGACCAAGAACATTTTCATTTGGAAGTCAAAAATAAATGTTTTTCTAAGGGTCAAAGACGCTAAGTACATGCCAGGCAATGTGTGCTTTGCCCAACTTGCTCTTGTCCTGACCACATAGCCCCATGGCTTAAGAAAGCAAGGCTAAGCTGTGTTTGGTGGAGCAGGGCTGAGTGGCTACAGACAGAGTTGAGTATCAGACTCGGGAACCCCTCCATGTGCTGGCTAAAGACCCAAAAGGCAACCTGGTGCAAAGGCAAGAGGCCAATGTGGAAACTGAGGGAACCATCAGAATGCCCTTGAGGTCTGAGCTGTAGGGAAAAGACACTGAGCAGCACAAAATCAGAATGCCAGCAAGACACTGGTGTGTGTGTGTGTGAGTGAGAGAGAGAGAGACAGAGGGAGAGAGAGGAGGGAGGAGGATGTGTTGCTTTAGAGCTGTCTTGGTTCCTGTAAGTATCCTTGATTCCATTTCCAGGCAGCTGCATCATTATAATAAATGTCCATTTTCCCAGCTATCCTTATTATTCTCTATCCACTGTAACTATAAAAGGAAGGAAGAAACAAGCATAAGCCCAGATAAGCTAATTGATTCCCATCGCCCTGGAGACCTGAGAGTCTTCGAGACTCATGTCCAGCAGAGAATTATGGATCTTCCTAGGCTTGCCCTATTTCAAAATAGCCCTGCTTTTGGGGGCAGAGTGTGATACAAACCCAGTCTTCTCAACACATTTGCATCTGCCCTAGTCAAATTACCAACTCTTCAGCCCCAAGACCATCCTATAAGGTTGTACTGAGTCTTCAACTAGCCCAAAATTCTTGACATTGTAGGACACAATTTGGGGGCTATGGAGAGGTGAGCTCCTGCCTTACGCCAATTGGGTAGGCTCCTAAATAGCCAAGGAGTAACCCACTCATGGCAATTCAAACAGGAAGTACTCATGCAATGAATATTCCTTTGGGAACTGGGTCACACAAATGTCAGGAGAATAATACCAGCATGTTTTAATAACCCACAACTCTACCACCTTATGACAAATAAAAAGGACTTGAAATCAAGGAACTAGATTCAAAGTCTCACTCTTCCACTCCCTAACTGAGGACTTTGAGTAAGTCACTTAACCTCTAGTAGGAGTTTCTCCCCCTCTGAAGAGTAGAGATAATACCACCTACTTCACAGGGTTGTTGTGAAGTTTAAAGGAGACATATGATGCAGCAACAGCATCATAACAACAGGCACTGAGTTAACCACTTGATTTACTTTATCTTATTTAATTTCTCCAATAACCTTATGACTAAGTCACCTGCCCAAGTACCCAAACAGCATGGAGGGGTGGTGCCAGCAAAGAACTCCTCCCTTTATTTTTCCATGTTTCACTAGGAGGAAGATTCCCGATCTAAAGAAATCAGCAGCAACTACTTACTGGGGGTTCATCAGTTCCAAGTCTCCAATATGTTGAATTACACAGTTTTTTTATGTCCTCAGGACCCTCTATATCATAATCTTTTGGATAGGCTTCTCTGTCATGGTGCCTTAAAAAATAAATTAGAATCTGTTAGGTGGTGAAGTTTTTTTTTTTTTAATTACATATTGCATTTAAATTTTTAAAAAATTATCCAATGAAAATGTACTATATTTGTGACATTGTTTTAATTATAAATTCACTGGATGTGGGACATATAAAGTATTTTCCATCTCTTTTCAAGTAACGCTGAGGGTACTTCCTAAAAACAATGCAGTACATGTGATAAAACTAATAATATCATAAGAACAATATTTATCCAATGCAACAATTACTCAGTTACTCCAATGAAGTGAACCTTATTTAATAATGTAGATTAGTGACCAAAAGTAAATTCTAAAATAAGACATGGTAATAAATTAGAAAGGCAACTTGCCACTTTAGCAAATTTTTCTACCATGAATTTTAATTAAAAGTTTTTTTTCAAAATTAGAAAGAGCCAAGTATCTGCTCATATGGATTTATAACATGTGCTTCCTGCTTCTAAAGAGGAATAAAACTTTGGAATAAAAGAGGAATAAAAACTGTCTTCTAAAGACAATAAAACATAAGCTGGAAAAAAACATGTAGACAGAAGAGGAAAAAAAAAAATTCCAAACATCTTGACTAAAAGTGTGGATAGAAATAATAATATAGGAGGGATTTGGGAAGAGGAAAAGAAAAAGGAAATGGAGTGGCCTGCAGCAGAAGTAGCTATTTTTACATAGCTTTCTTCAGTAAGATAAAGGAAGCTGAACCCAAACATCCCTCAGAAGGGGCCTTGATATTGAGGGATACAGGGCTAGGACTGTGTAAGGGATATTGAGGAACCCTAGAATGCAGCCAGCCAGCCAGCCAGCCAGGCCGCCAGCCATCCAATTGTCCACTCATTCAGTCAATACTTTAAGTACCTACTATATGCCAGGCAGGAGACACAATGGGGACTAAGCCTGATGCAGTCCCTGCCTTCATTGCTCACACTCCGGTGAAAGACACAAGAAAATTCTATAATGTGGGCACAGGGTCATGGAAGCAGAATGGCATCCACTCATCTGGATGGGGCACTCTAATTTAAGTCAGGAGGCCCTTTAGGACCTGAACCCCCACCTCATTCCGCTGTATTAGGACTGGGACCCTGCACTGCATTCAAACTACAGCCCTGCCTTTCTGCATCTGAGATGAGAGCAGAACACTGCATAGAACACAGCAGCAAGGGAGCCAGGGTGGTGCAGCAGAGCCCAGACACACGAACCCTCTTCCTTCTTCACATCTGAGCATTAAATTGCAAAATACTAAAAGCATTTTGGTACCATGTCAGCATTTTCTGAGAACCTCCCAGGAAGCTCTCACTTTAGTCCTTAGGGGGAATATTGAACAACATCAAGAACCAGGAGTGGTAGAGTGAATGGGGCCAAGGGTTTGAGTCATTGCTCATGTCCTAGCTGTATGACTTCGGGCAAGTCACTTAATCTTTCTGTGTTTCCATTTCCACATGTGTAAAATGAGGACAGATATAATACCAATAAGATTTTTGCAAAATGAAAAATACAAAAGCAGAACATCCTTCAAATACTGTAAAGTATCATAAACACCTATGTATAATGAATACTAATCCAGCTTTAAAAAATTCTGGTGTACAATAACTGCAACTTTATTTTTTTCTTAATTGTACTTAATTTCTTTGCCAAGTGCTCATATTGCTAAGATGGAAAAACCTTAATCTTGGTCAATTCTGGATCTCTTCCCACTCTCAAGGGCCTGTGTGGTGCCACATGCCAAGAATCCATCTTTGTTGTTATCATCTCTCCCTGCTGACATTGGTGGACACCTCCTCATTCTCCTGTGGTCTTCCATTATGGATACATGCAAATCTCTGCTATGCCCTTCTGGTCCTGCCACACAGACTCCTGCTTAGACTGGCACTCAGCCACAAGCGTGCCATTATCTGGGCCAACAAGAATCTTCATGTGTCCCTCTCCACCTGTTCCTGGAAAACAGATGCCATCCCTGAGTTGTTTGCCTAGCCCCTCAAGGTTTCATGTCACCCCCTGACACTGGGCTTGGAGGACACACACACCCCCCACAGTTCAACAGCTCCAAAACCTCTACCCTGGGAATGGATGGCTAGGCAGTGATAGGTCTCATCTGCTCAAGAATTTCTAAAGCTTTAACCTTTCCAATTTGGGGTCCCAGACAAACACATACATTTTCAACTTCTGGGCTACCCTCCATCTTCATTCCATGAACTCATCTATCATGGGACAGGGAAGCCCAGCTCTTCATCTGTTCTTCCAAATCTATGGTGTCATCCTAAGACCCAAGCTTTTGAATCCCAAACCCAAGAATTTGGTGTTTTTGTTGCCTGCTGGGTCTTTCTTCCCTGAGATAATAATACCAGAATATCTCCCTGGGAGCATAAGAATGAAGAGGAAAAGCATTTCAGTATGTGATCCTAGTGCCCACTTCTTCACAGTCCACAGTGGGCACAGTGGCCAGTGTCCAGGGTGTTTTAAAACATAGGAGTGTCTTAACTAATTTTTATTTTTTATTTTATTTTTATTTTTTAAATTTTTAAAAAAAATTTTTTTTTAAGATTTTATTTATTTATTTGACAGAGAGAGATCACAAGTAGACGGAGAGGCAGGCAGAGAGAGAGAGAGAGAGAGGGAAGCAGACTCCCCGCCGAGCAGAGAGCCCGATGCGGGACTCGATCCCAGGACCCCGAGATCATGACCTGAGCCGAAGGCAGAGGCTTAACCCACTGAGCCACCCAGGCGCCCCTTATTTTTATTTTTTAAAGACTTTATTTATTTATTTGACAGACAGAGATCACAAGTAGGCAGAGAGGCAGGCAGAGAAAGAGAGGAGAAAGCAGGCTCCCTGCAGTGCAGAGAGCCCGATGTGGGGCTTGATCCCAGGACCCTGGGATCATGACCTGAGCCGAAGGTAGAGGCTTTAACCCACTGAGCCACCCAGGCGCCCCTTAACTATTTTTTAATCAGCAAAAAAGAGAATATAATACATCTTAGATTGTATCCATCTTTATACCAATGTAGTTATAAACTATCATTTTTAACTTTTTTTAATGGAGGAAGGAGCCCATGAAGGCAAAGATAGTGTCCATGAAAGTCAGAATGTACAATATATTTTTAAGTTGTATTATAACCAGATTATTACAAAAGATGCAGGTATGTTCCTTCACTTAAAGCAATCTCAGTCCTAAAAGTCCAGCACTGAAAACATGAATCTATAATGAAAGTCTTTCTGTGGAAAACGGAGCTAATACACAGCTCAAGAAGACCTGCCCCTACTTCTAAGAGACTGCCAGCCTCACAAAGAGGAATAAACATGCTAAAAAAATTATAAAGTATATAAAATATAATATAAAAAATAAATATGTTTAACAAGTATAAAAATATAGTAAAGTGATCAGGGTATTATAAAGAAAATGACAGACTGAATTAATTATTTTATTATGTCAGGTGAACACTGACTTGTGCCTCAGTTTCCTTGAGATGAATTGAGGATCATACACTGAGGAAACAAATGAATCAATGGACTAAGAGTCTCAAGTGACAAGTGACATGTAAATGCAAAATACTATTATGTGTAATAATATTTTGTCTATCAATCATATGCTTTAGTTTAGTTTCAATACTTGTTAATGCCAATTAAACCTTAGAGCATCTTTATGAGACATATATCAAGGTATTATAATATATAATAAAGTAAAATATAACTATAAATATATATATATATATACACACACACTTTATATAGCCTTGTTCCCCTTGTTACGTGCATTTATCGATGGTCACCATACATATATACAACCAGCCATAACCTGCCATTTACTGCAACAGAAATTCATTATGAGAAAATAATAAAAATAATAATAAAATTTACAATGTCTTTGGAGCAGTAACTTTCAAACCTTTTGAGTATAGCCCCCCTCACCCCAGCCCATCTTAAGACACTGGCCAATGTCTGAAGACTTTTTCGGTTGTTGCATCAGGGTGGGTGGGTTGTCACTGGCCTCCAGTGGGTAGAGGCCAGTAATGCTGCCAAACATCCTACCATGCAAAGAACCCCCCCGCCCCACCCAAACAGAGAAATATCTGGCTCAAAATGTCAAAAATGTCAAGGTTAAGAAAGCTCCAGGGAACAGTTATATACCAGACTTAGATCAGTGGTTCCCAAAGGTGTTTCATAGAGCAGCAAAATATTCCCCCCAAATTTGTAGAACCAACATAAAACTGCCAACTTTCTTTCTTTTTAAAGATTTTATTTATTTATTTGACAGAGATCACAAGTAGGCAGAGAGGCAGGCAGAGAGAGAGGAGGAAGCAGGCTCCCTGCTGAGCAGAGATCCTGATGCGGGGCTCGATCCCAGGACCCTGGGATCATGACCTCAGCCGAAGGCAGAGGCTTTAACCCACTGAGCCACCCAGGCGCCCCCCAACTTTTATTTTGACAGAAGCATTAAAAAAATAAAATAACCATCTACCACCTTTAATAGGAAGACCTCTAACACCACAGATAAGTAAAAACAATCTCAGAGTCCTTTAAACTGAATAAATTTAGCTATACAAATAACTTGCTGCGTTGTCTTTATGGTTCATCTTATCACCTTGGATTAGTAATAAGGTCATTGTTGACCAGTACTGGTCTAGTCTACTGACTGACTTCTGCAGATATTAATTTGTCCAGACATGAATTTGACAGCAGCTGGTCAGCAGTCAGTTCAAGGTCAAAGCTGCTTGAATACAGGTATTCCATGATGCTGACTGAAGGAAGAACTATGTCTTCCATGACAAGCATGCAGGTGCTGGCTGACCTTCTTGCTGGGAGAAGAGTCCACAGGGCTCCCTGCCATCAGTGCCAGAATCTTCCTTGACAAGCAGTCTTGCTTCTGCTTAGGACCTTGCTGTATCAGGGCCGGAGTTGAGTGCTGTAACTCTTTCTTTATATAAGAAATCTTTACGTAAGACATCCTCAATTATAAGAGATGTAGCTTACATTCTCCACTCT